AAGCGAGGGCGTATGTAAGTGTTTCTTCCTCTTTGGGCCGCCACATGGATTTCTGGGCACATAGCAACCCTTCCTTGTCCTTGGAGTATGTCATTCGAATGTCCCATTGCATGGACTTGAAAATGGCCTCGAGTTCATTGATGATCTCGACGGTGTCACGGACAATAATTTTTCCTTCTGGTCTCAGAATTCTATCAACCTCAGCAACCAAGCCCATGAAGTTGCACCTGTAAAGCCCAATATCCCAATGACTTAGAAAATTATCTTAAATAAAATTAGGATCCCTAAAAATTCAAGGGTATATGATGATACACACTTCTTTTGGATCTTCGAGAAAAGATGGTCAGCATGCAGAAGGTCGTAAGATCTTGGATAAGTACTGAATGATTCGCACCAATCGTGATAAATTCCAAATAATCCTCGTTCGTATATGATAGGCAGTGTATCTGGAGCATCTATAGAGACGACATTCATAACCCACACATTTAATTCTCTCATAGCAGCAGCCAATCTGAAAATTTAGAGTCATCCATTAGCAAAGCACGTAAAACCAAAGGGCACACTATGATTATTGAGCAAGTCCAAACTCCAAACACCAGAATGTAATGTCTTAAATGGCTAGTGTTCAATAAAAGGCAGCATTGAAATTTCTCCTATATGTTCAATTTCTTTCCACTGAGATTTTGAAAAAGTAGATCAGCATTCAAAAACAAAACAAAAAACAGGATATCACATGGCACCAATCTAAACTCAGAGAGAATTGTTTGAATAACACTGTAAGAAAAGAATGGTTGATTCAGAATTACATGAAACAAGTCTGTTGGAAGAATTAATATATGCTGCTTCAATAAGAGAACTAGAACAAAAGGATGGTTTTTAATTGTCTTCATGGGGGGTGGTTTGGGAGGAGTATATTAATTTTATTTTATTTATTTATTATTATTATTATTATTATTATTTTTGGTGACTTACCCTCCATAGACAGCTCGCATATCCATGGCATTCCTCACAGTAGACCAGTTTATACCCAATCCTTTTAGATATGAGTTGTCAAACACACGCTTCCAGTGTTTATAATCCGCAACAAAATCTTCGGTAGCTGGTTTTCCATAAACTCCAACCTCAGAGCTTGACAGCCAGTAAGGCACCTTCTCAACCCTAGCAGGCCACTGCTCTGGCCACTGGGCCCCTCGTTCAGATGAAGTAACAGGAACTTTGTGCATGCATGCTTGCAAAGGCACATTCCTGATCATTATAAAAGATTAACAAAAACTTGTAAATGTAAAAAATAGAATCCTAGCTTCCTGCTTTTAACAAAATAACGAGCGAATTTTCAGCTACAAATCAAAAGCAATGTTCCCATTGACGAAATAAAAAAGGCATACCAAGCAGCATTGGCGTCATCAGTGTCTTTGCATAGAGGAGGCTCATTTTTCGACCTCTGTTCATAGCATTCATTTGTAGTGGGCTTTCGGTACAAGGCAATTCCAACTCCATTTATTCTATCCTTGGTTATCGAGACAACTTCCCAGCACAATGCTTTTGTCAACTGCTTCATGGCTGCCACAAATAAAAACATGAAAATCAATTGTTTGTCTAAGTGCAAAGAAACACTGAGCTTCTGGTAAAAGTGGAATATAAGAAGTACCTTCCCATATCTCAACATCCTCTGGAAGTTTCTGGTAAATGGGGGTCGCAGACCAAACAAAGAAACCACCAGGTCGAAGTAAACGGTTCAGCTCCAAGAGAAGCTTACCACCTAAACAGCGCATTAAAGAACAAACCATGTCCATTCAATATAAGAAATATGCCAATTACAAATAATGGATGTATTTCATGAATGTAATTCATAGTTGAGGAAATCCGGAACTATAGTACCTTCGATATGCCATGGCACCCTACAACGTGCACAATGAACAACATCGAAAACTCTGGCAGGATACGGAAGTCTCTTCGTACCCATAACAGCAGATATTGCTGGGATTCCTCTCTCAAGCGCAAATTGAACCTGAGCCTCGTGTTCATCTTTTGGGGCTAATGACATAGTAAGCACATCCCTATCAAAGAGGAAGCCTCCGAAACTAGCAACCCCACAGCCAACGTCCAGAACTACTCGGGAACGCTTGCCCCAGTCAATTTCAGGTACAGACTACACAAGCAAAAATAGTCAACGCAAGTTAGCTTAGCAACTCATCCATTCTGGCCATTAAACAAGATTTTGAATCTACTTTGGCAGAATGAAAGAGACAGATATGAATTCATCATATACAAATTAATTTGAAAAGTAATAATACAATGCTACACAATTATTTAACATACACGAAATATTCAAAAAAGAAAAGAAAAGAAACAGACAATCTTTTTGCAATCTTCAGTTATAAAACATACATGCATTAGTCGAAGAAGAGATAGTCTCAGAGGCACTAAGAATAAAGTAAAGCAAGTGCAACATATGTTACCTGTTGTATGAAGTCAATGTAGTGAAGAGCACCATGCTTAAACTGGGTGCCACCACCGGGAAACGTAAGGTATTCACCACTAATTTTAACCCAGTTCTGGTGTCCCTTAACTTCTGCAAGCTTTGTATGGGGCACATTAGTGTACCAAATCTGTGAAAACAGAAAGCAAGCCAATTAAGAAGGAGATATATATATATATATATAGAGAGAGAGAGAGAGGACAAATTAATCTAAAATTAGTCTGTTCGGCAATATAATACCTTCTCTCGACTTGTGGGCCACTCAATCGAACGTTTATAACCTTCGGGAAGGGGAACAAGGCAGGTAGGTGATTGATCAGGACAGTGCCTCTCCCTGTGTTCGTAGTGCTTAGTCGAAGTAAGCTTTTTTATTGCCTCCAAGTTATCAAGGCATGGAATGTAATCCGTTCCAGCAGTGGTTTTGCAAACCTTCCAACTGTATTTACTTTGATTCTCTGATTTAGATGACTTTTGAGCATCTTTCTCATTTTTTGACTCCGTTGCCTGAGTCGAAAATGATCCGTTCTGTGTTGCCGACTCATCCGTAAGTTCCGCTTGCGCGCCAGAAGGAAAGACTTCACTAGATTTATTCTTTTCGTCAGTCATCTTCTCATCTGTTTTGTTCTCATCCTTCTCCTCTATCTGACCCTCTCCTTTGTCCCCATCCGTTTTGCCTAAATCTTCTTCGGACTTCTTCTCCCCATCATCAGAGGAGGTGTTTTCGTTATTTTCTGAGTCTTGATTCACATAGGATTCCTTCTCAGCTTTCTTTTCATCTTCTCCATTTTCCGTCTCATTATTAGACCCTTCATCCTTCTTTTCTTCATTCCCGGACTTCTGGTCCTCGGGTTCATCAGTGTTCTTTGCTGGCTCCTCTGATGGCTCATTTTTTGTGTCCCCCTTGGTGGCCTCCTCAGGCAAATCACCAGGGTTATCCTCAAACTGCTTTGCCTGTCCCTCGTCTTTTTGGATTCTGTCATTATCTTCATTTGCAACATTGCTATTGTCCTCATTTCTGGTCACCTCATTTTTGTTCGCCTGAGAGACATCTGAATTCTGAACAGGGACCACAGATGATGATGTCATCATCCATACCCCAACCAGGCAGAGGGCCACGAAGACCACAATCGTGACGGTCGAACAATAGCCTGATGACGATTTCCGCCCATCAACTTTAGAGTATTTTCCTGAAGCCATGTCAGGCTTAGTATGTTGCAATAGATCTGACGATGTCTTTATCTTATTGCACCTACATTACAAGCGAATGACATTAATTAACAATTTTCGTATAGGATCTCAACCAAGCATGAGCATAGGAGCAAATTTTAGGACAGAAGGTAGTACGATCTACTCACTAGCATGCATTTATCAAAGCCTAAATCATAATTGCCTTACCAGTTAAGTGGGAAGTTTTAAGTAACAAGCATGAGAATTAATTACAAGTCAATTTGGGTGCATAATATGAAAAGAATGTAATAAGTGCAGATGATCTTCAGATCAGTTTATGATACACATAAATCGCAGATAAAAAATGAGGATTTCAGCAAGATATGTTCGCTTCTGCAATCCAATCGCATTTGTGTTCATCTCCCCAAAAACCAAAAATGAGAGAGAAAAAAACTAGCATGGACAGACCAGATCTCGAATGTAAATTCAAATCCAATAAGTAATCTTCATCATAAATGAACAACAAGATCAGATCGGAGAAATCTCGAAGAGAGACTAGACTTATCAAGATTTCCCGACGCGCATTGAGAAAAAAGGAGACGAGAGAACCGTACCTTTCCCTGTAAATTCTCAACACAGATCTGAGATAAACAAAGCTCTGATCATTGGCACATATTCTTCTGTATAAAAAACGCTGTGTCGGTGCCTACGACAAGTGGCTTGAAGCTTGCAGTGAGAAGAACAATAGCCCCTGTATTTATATAAGTGACTTCAGCTTTCTGTGTTCCTCTTGTTTTTTTACTTTCAACAATTTTCCCTGATTTTAGTAACTATTCAAGTATTTTGAAAATTGACGTACGTATACTACGTATGGCCATTTTCATAATATTTTAATGATTGCACGCGGCAAGATGGGATCACATACTGACATACTTCACAGTTCACAGTACAGAACTTTTCTGTTTTACATTTCCTAATGTGGAGCGTGTGAAATCAGGATTGTGTTCAACTTTGACAGCAAATGAAAATGAGGAGTTCATAGGGAAAACAATAAAACAACGAAAAATCACAAGACGTCCGTGAAATTCTACCATACGGTTAGCGTGTGGGTGCGCGTGAGATAGATGTCAATTCACAAGTATAACCATGGAATGGGACATTTTTGCAGCAATTAATATTAATAATAAGGGGAAAGCAACAGTTCAGTTAGAGTATGATTCCGTCGTTTTTTTTTTTTTTTTTTTTTTTTTCGGTACAAAGATGGAGTCTAAAAGCCCAAAATAACTAGGTTAGAACTCGTCGTGAGTGGGACACCCCGATAATGTCGTGCTCAAGCGAAGCTCCCATCCCTGGGGGAGGTAAAGCGAACCGTTGCATACGTAACGAGGAGGATGACGCCAAGCTCGCCATATGGTCAGCCGCAAAGTTGGCTTCCCTATATACGTGTTGGATTCGAATGCGCCACTCCCTTTGAACCAGACTACGAATGGCCCGAACTAGTGCATCATGAGTTCCAAAATTATCATCGGACCCAAGGATCATTCTCCTCACACATTGGTTGTCTTTTTTTTTTTTTTTCTTGTCGAAACGATAGGGAATCTATTAAAAAGCTCAAGCGAACCAAGTTCGAATAATACAAACCAACCCGAGAAGGAAAAGTGGGAGGACACGCATATAGCGGCCTAGAACCTCAACACAGAAAAGTAGAACACAAATTGGTTGTCGACCTCTACAATAACCTGCCGAAATCCCAACTCCTAAGCCAACTGTAGACCCTGAAAGAGACCCCAAAGTTCGGCACCCGTAATGGTGCTACATCCAATATTCATGAGGAAACCCTCAATCCATCTACCAAACTCATCTCGAAGCAAGCCTCCAGCGCTACTAAGGCCTTTGGTGTTATTAAAAGCACCGTGTGTATTCACTTTCATCCACCTCGAGTCTGGCGGGACCCAATGTATCATACGAAACACTTGAAACTCAGCTCCGACCTGCCTGTAAGCCTCGGTTGCCTCGGCATATGTGTCCGTTTTACGTAGAACCTCCACTCTTCGAGATTCACAGTTTAGTAATCGGTGGTTGAAGATATGGTCATTTCTCCAACTCCATGAATTCCATGCTGTAAACGCAAACAGGCTACTCCAGTTATTATACGATCCCAACTGCACCATCAATAAATTTTTCCTCAACCAAGTTTTAAGTGGTTGTCGAAAGAATTCGCTATCAATGTCTTTTGGGAGCAGCCGAATCCATAAGCTCTTAGCGTACGGGCAGTCCCTTAAAGCATGCAACGCTGTTTCATTTTCTCCACAAAACTCACAATCCGCCGACGTGGAGATATGTCTCTGGACCCGTTCCAAATTGGTCACTAATAGACCTTTAGCCGCAAGCCACAAGAATTTTTGAAACAGTTGCGGTACTGGTGACTGCCAAATCAACTTCCAAAGTGGTTGATCCGAATCACTTTTCGATTGTACAAGGGTCTGGTAGGCGGGTTGCGTTGAGTACCATCGTGGGAAGGTCCCCATATAATCCGATCCTCTCCAGCCATGTCTCTTGGTGGGAGTGTACCGGCAATGCACAAGATTATGGCTGATGTGAGAATCCCGTGAAAAGCGTCCCATTTCCAGCTACCCCTCGCATACATGAATTCCACTACCTTCAAGTGGAGGATGCCTTCCGGCGGCCTTTGAGTCACATATTTTATCAACGGTCCGGCCTTGCCCAACCAAGGATCGAGCCAAAAGCGGGCTGTTTCACCGTTGCCTAAGTTCCAATGGACTTATTTCACGATATCGGGCCAAATCTTACTTAGAGCTCGCATTAAGGTCGAACCCTATCTACATCGAAGATTTTCCAGATTGTTCCAGAGATTGATGCCATACTGAGCGGTCAGTAGTCGCACCCATAGAAAATTACTTTTCGTCAAAATTTCCCAGCCTAACTTCATCATTAGGGCGTAGTTCATGCGACGAATATTCTTAATGCCCAGGCCCTCCTCTTCTTTAGTTTTACACACTTCCTTCCAAGCGTGCAAATGTATTTTCCTTTTCTCTTCGTAGCCACCCAGACGAAGGCACGACTTCTACGCTCAAGTCCGTCAGTAATGGCACCCAGTAGCAAAGTGGCCTGGATGGAATAATAGGGCAGCATGGTCAACACAGCCTAGGTAAGGGTGACTCGGCCCGCCATCGATAGTGATTCCATGTGCCACCCGGCTAATCGCGATTCTGCCTTATCCAGAATGTGAGAGAATGTAGTTTTGGTCACTCGGCCATGCAAAATGGGCACTCCAAGGTAGTTACCCAGATTGTCCGTCCACTTGAACTTTAATGCATCTGCCAACCTATGTTGTTCATCATATCCCACATTATTGGAATCTCTGAGCTTACTTTCAGTCCCGAAATATTGCAAAAAAGTCGAGGACTTGCTTCAGGAACCCCACCTGCTCCCAATCTATCCATGCATAACACGAATAGATAGGGGGAAATGGCTCTCCATGCCTAACTCCTCTGCTGGGCTGAAACTCCTTCCCTATCGTCCCATTCCACAACAAAGTCATCAAGGCCGATCTAACACTTGCCATGATAGTCGTAACTAAAATAGCAGGGTAGCTGACTAGTCGAAGGGTTTCTTCAATGAAGTCCCACCTAAGATAGTCATAAGCCTTCTCCAGATCAACTTTAATAACCATATAGCTCGTCACTCCGTTTTTTATGGCGCATAGAATGGATCAACTCTTGCGCTACTACAATATTACTGATAATCTGGGTACCCGTGACAAAGCTAGCTTGTGTTGGATGGGTTAAGTCAGGCAGTGTACCTTTCATTCAATTCACCAAAATTTTTGTGAAAAGCTTGTAGATGACGTTGAGCAAGCTAATAGGCCGGAACTGCCTAATTTTAGTTGCATTCTCGATCTTAGGAATTAAAATATTTATTAGTTTGATTCACTTCACTTGGGACGACACCATCTCGCAACATTTTGCGAATGAAAGCTCGCAATGAGGGGCCCACAGTTTCTCAATTCTTCTTAAAGAACAATGCGTTTAAGCCGTTTATCCTTGGGGCTTTTAAGGATCCCATGCTTTGCAAGGCAGAAAAGATTTCCCCATCCGAAATATTCCCCTCCATGGCCTGCATCCGATCCACATCACAGACTATAAATAAGTTAGGCATAGTTCCAACTGTTTCTGGAGGTGGCCCTACCATATAAATTTTTTAAAAACTCCGTTGCTAAATTTCAAAGGGACGGTTGATCCGTTACTAGGTTACCTTCAGCATCTTCTAATTTCGTAATCCTTCCTTGTCGTCGATGGACTTTAAGTTCGATGGTAATATGAAGTATTTCTATTCCCCAAGTGCATCTAATCTCTTGTAGATTTCTGGAGAAGTAGTAGTTCCTCTTGCAGAATGACATCGTCTAGTTCCTCACGCATCTGTTGCTCTAACTTCACGAGTTGTTCCTTGAAATAAAATTGTCGGCTTCTCTGGATACCCCGTGCTAGTAGTCGTTTCTTTGGCTGAAAGATATTACCAAAAACTATAAAGTTCCATTTTTTCACCACTTCCGCGAACTTGTTCGTCACTTCAATAGAACAAAAGGAGGGTTGCCACGTGTCATGTAGCATTTCGGAGAATCCCAGGTGAAGAAGCCAAGCTGCTAGGAATCGAAAGGGTTTCATTCCTTGTGATATAAAGTTATGTTTACCAAATCCCAACATATGGGGGGAGTGGTCTGATTGAATTCGTGGAAGGAGACGGACCCTGCCCATCTCGAATTTCTCCATCCAGGTCATATTTGCTACAAAACGATACAGCTTTTCTGTAACTCTTCCATTTTAGCCTTCCTAACCCACGTGAAAAGGTGTCCGTCCGTAGCCACCTTTTGTATGCTGTTAGTGAATACCCAATCCGACAATTCCTTGCTTATATTACAAAAGCTAGATGACCCTCCAATTTTCTCCGACCGATAGAGGAGGCAATTAAAATCACCCCCGATTAGCCAAGGGTCTGATATACTCGAGGCCAGTCGCTCTAGCTCATCCCACAGTTTTCGACGAATTATTGTGTTGGGACTTGCATAAACAAACGTGATCTAACACAGCCTAGATGGAAATGAACGCATCATCGGAACGGTTGTAGTGTCAACGGTACAGTCGGTCTTGACTGATTAATTGCCCTAATACATTTATGTATTGAACATGATCCCAGAGAGTTACAGTTTGTTTTATACTAATCATTATAAACAAACTTAGATCTCGGTTAATTACTGCGTTCTCTTAACCCGTAAGGTATTAAACAGACATGTGCATATAGTATTTATTTCTTTGATTCACTTGGGTGATATTCAGTTCGTTGGATCAGTAGTCTTACTGTCTTGGGTAATATTGCTATATGTATGATGTGTTGTTAGGATATTTACGGTCATCGTGTGCGTTATAGTTTGATGATGTCCCCGAAGTGAGTTCATGAAGGATTGTTATGCTAAACCCTGTAGGTGGATTAAGTTCCGACATAATAATAATTTGATGAACGAGCGCTAGCTTTGGTAATATAATATATAAATTAATTCTTGATTATCAGTAATCGAATTAATTAATGTACATTATATCTTAAACATGCGGAGGTAATTCGAGTAATTATTATTGGAGTATCAAATGTAATTTGGGATAGGAAAAGGGAGTGCAATAATATTGCGTTAGTGGACCGTGATATTATTTAAGTATTGGCAGAGTGGGGTAGGCTCACTGTTTGACCCAATGCTTAAGGAGCCCTAATCCTATTCTCCTAAGGATCCATACTGTAGCTCTATATATACATCATTAAGTTAATGGAAAAGAGAAACAAAAGAGCTAACGTGAAAACACATGCACGCCCCCCCTCTCTCTCTAGTCTTTCATTTTAGTTTTATCTTCTTCTCGTTGCTCCACCAGTATGGGTTGAAGAGGTGTATGGGTAATACAGTAGAAGATCCCATGGTATACGAGACCCCGTGATTAAATATATTCATCAACCTCGGAGATCCACCG